CAGGGGAAGGTAACGTGTGTTCCAAGGTGCGTCTGCAAGCGTCGGCGTGATAAGCTCACCATTTATACGGAGGGTTGGCGCCGCGTGTCGCAAGTCGGTAGATCGTACTCGGGGTTTAATGACACCCTGTTTGAGGCCAGATTTGCGTCCCCACGCATCAATGTCATCTAAGAAGGGCTGAAGCGAAACCGATCGAGGGGCTTGGACCCGTGTGTCATCGACAAATAAATAAGAACGGAGGAGCTTGGGCCGAAATTGTGCTAGCGTGACAGTTAAGGAATCCATGTAGATAATAAAGAGCTGGGGGCCGACGATTGAGCCTTGTAGGATGCCATTCGTTCTAAGGAATAGAGACGAGAGCGTGCCGCGGTATGTCACTCGGGTAGGGACCCTCTCAAACAGCGCGCGGAGGCAGTTGATCCAGTTTTCGGGCATTCCAGCGTGACGCAGAAGTACCCATAGGCGTGGAAGAGCGACCTTGTCGTATGCCTTGGTTATGTCCAGTCAGACGTCGTTCCACTCCTCTTCTGACTGTGTCTCAGATTCCTTGGCGACAAGTGCTTGGGTATGACAGGAGTACCGTGATTTGAAGCCAGCTTGGGTAGCATGGGTAGCAGAGCCGGGGTGGCTCGTAATCAGATTAAGAAAGCACTTTTCAAAGATGCATCTGACTATTTGCGTAAGCGTGATGGGGCGGAAGTCGACAGGGGAGGTGATATCTGCATCGGCTTTCTTTGGGTGCGCTGTTAGGAGGCTGCAGTTCAGGGCTGCGGGGAAGGTACCCGCCTTCAGTAGCTCAGTGAATGCTTCGGCAAGGAGTCTAATCAGTGGGCTATTGGCGTCGAGGCGTCCCAATGTCCGGCGTTCGGTAGAGCGCTCCACTGCGGCCTTCAGGAGGAGGATGTGGATCCCGTCGGGGCCAGGTCCCTTATTGGGATAGCGTAGTATTGCCTCCATTACATCGTCGGGGCGTATGGTGGAAGTGACATCAGGAGAGGGTTCGGTATCCGGTGGAACCACGTACGGGTTTGTACAGTTGAATAGGGCCTCAAAGTAGCCAGCGAGGGTAGCGCCTGTGTCATCGGTACCCGGTATGCAGGGTTGGCGCGGAGACCGTCGTTGGTACGCAATATCTTTGAACATTTGAGCATTGCTTTGGGCGGTCAGACGTGGGCGGAACGAGTGGTTTGGCAGCCGCTGAACCCAAGGTCTGTTTAAGTCATAATAGAACCCTCCAAAGATTTGTGGGTTAGTGGCATAGCGCCAAATGCGGTCGAGGATTCGTAGCAGCCCTTCCGCTGGTCCATGTAAAGTGAGATACGACCGTAGTAGGTTCTGATGCGCCCGGATTTCGGCTTGGAATAATCGCGCGCGGGATTTGTTGCGTAGGTGATACAGTCGATGGCGATATCGGTTATATCCATGGGAGGGAAGGCGTTGGTCCGGAGGCGGCGGCATTGCTGGCATTTGTTGGGGCCGATGGATTTGATTCGTGGGAAGTATCTGGAGATCGAGTCCAAAGGTGTGGTCACCATAGATACCGTAGTCCGTCAGCTTATAAGTTTGGAGGGAGGCGGGGGTGGTAGGTCGATGATACGCATGTTCAGTACCAGTTGAGCCGCCAGCATAGAGGTAGTCCAAGTGCCACGTCTTACGCAGAATAGTTTCAATCGTTTCCATACGTAGTCCGTGATTTGTAGATGCGTGGCCATACTTCCGGGCTTTGAAGTTGAAATCTCCCCACATGACATCTGGTTGGAAACCGCCAATCTCGGGGGGATTCATGTATCGCCTGACGTCTTCTTCAGTAAGCGATTTGAGTGGAAAGTAGAACACAGCCATATGAACGCCAAAGCACATAAAGAACACCGCGTACGGTGAAGAGTGTACAAGTTGAAAATTCGATGGGTGGTGTTTGGAAAAGATCCCAATACCACAGTGTGAAGGGTGTAAGATATTATGCTGTGTAGTGTGGTGTAGGATATGGTAGTGTGTGTTCGAGCGTATATGATTAAGAAATGTGGTGTTATGCCAGGTTTCAACCACACACATGACATCAACCTGACTTAAAATCGATATAACGTTCAAACACTTATCTGTATGTGCTGCGTTGTACATGTTGAGTCCTTGTGGGTTGAAGAGCGTCATCCTCATTGGGCCTAACATTGTTCATCATCGGTCAATACTACTAGGCTCACTTCTTTGACGATGTCAGCCATTTCTATATCATTGCCTGTCGTCGAAGAGTCCGTCGTGGAAAGCTGAGGCTGCGTATTGCTATCCATCGTGTCGGATGATTGTGTCGGGGAGACCGTTGGTATATTAAGTCGTCCGGGTTCCGCACGCGCTGATTCTTTAGCGTTTACCGGGATTCGCGGGTTAAGTGAGAAGAGGTTTTTATCGTGCTTTGCTTGGTAAGACTTCTGGAGACGGTCCGCGGTAGATTGGAGGATGTCTGCGTTAGTGGAGTTGACAAGTGGGCTCAGTAGTGCATCTATGCTGCGGGCAAGAATTTTTGGCGCTCGTTCATGTGTGCAGCGGGCCTCCCGCTTGGTGCGGAGATAGTGAATTAAAGCTGCTTTCGTAGCGTCGGGATGTTGTTGGGAGCGGGGGTCGATGTTTTCATCAAGCTGCCATTTCCACGTAAGGGCTGCATGTCGTTTCACCTGGGCGACAGAGTCACTAGGAACACAAAGGCGAATGAAACTGGTGGAGCTTCCGCGACGATTTGGTTGAGATACCGATTTAGACGGAAGATACCAGAGAAAGTGGTGGCGATTGAGGGCTGGTTGGGCATGCCAGTATTTTTCAAATACTGATTGGGATGGGGGCTTGCCGTTAGGGAAAATTGCTCTGAAGAAGAGCCATACCGAAGTTATGTCATCCATTTCATGAAGAGTTTTGTCCGGCATCGGGCGGCCCACCACTTTCGTCAAAAGGTGTTCGGGTACTGGCGGCTGCGATTGGGACTGAGAAGCTGGTGGGGTCGGGCGTTTTTTAGGGCTCGGTTTTGCAGGTTTGTCCACTTTTGAGCGGTAGCTGGGAGGCTCACTGCTGCTATTGGGCGCCTGTGACCGCGGTCTTTTTGCAGGCGGAACAGGCGTATGTTACGGTCTATCAATGCGATATTAACGCCTTAAAGTAATTAAACGCTTAGGTTAAGTCTAAATATAATAAAGTTTTAAAGTAAATATACAAAATGAGTCTTTTAGTTTCGCCGAAGGGATTTGATTTAGTGTTTTGTCGTTGCTTTATTAGAAACTATGTTATGTTTCGTTGGGGCAAATCCGAGAGACTCATAAAATCATATCTTCAGAAGAAGAAGAAAGTAAAAAAAGAAAAAAGAAAAAGAAAAATACTCTTGATGTCCATAGTTATTGTATTAACCAATAACTTGCCACTTATCTAGAATTACCGACTAGCCTTCATCAGACTGGCACATCTGGTTGGCTGGACGGAGGATAAACTAAGCAACGCTGATAGTCCTTAGAACCCTATGTTCGGTTGAGCCATCTCGCTACCGAAGTATTTATATGTAAATAGATTTGGAAAGTAAATACAGTCATATTAATAGAACTAATCCAAATCTTATATTTGGTATTTTACTGGGTCCTTTCTGACTGAGTTTCACTTATTGTATTTCAGCTTAACACGTTTGACTTAAGTGCAACTCGGTTTTGACTACATTTTTAGGTGTGACCGAACTACTGTATTTATTATACTACGTTCTTTAAAGGTAAAATCAACTAAGAAGCAACTTAGTTTACTTTTATTTTTTTCAACGATGACGGGAACCAAGACCAGACCGTTGCCCATGGTGGGTAAGCAAGCCTGTGACCAGTTGCTGAAGCGGTTGATTGGAGCTCTTCGCCGTTTAACCGTGCTACGCAAAAAGGTGAAGACGGCACTTGCCAAGGAACCTGCATCCGAAGACGATAAGAAAGTGAAAATCCATGTGGAATTGACCCGTTTACTATCGAAGGCCCAATTCTCAATCAAAACCTTGGACAGGCTTAGACAATCCCCAGACTGGATTTCTGATCAGGAAGGACTCTTGAATGCGTTGATGCATGTGCAGGGGGCCACGGAAAATATTCCTCTCAATCAAGAGCAACTCCGCCAACTCCGTGAATTGTCACCAACGGATATTGACACGTCTACGCCCCAGGACTCGGACCAGGCAACAGTGGATGAGGATTTTTTAGAGACTCAGGCCGCACCAACAGTACAACAACATTGGGCTCCTCAATACTCAACGCAGGCAGGGTCGACACCCACCATCCAGTTACCTGACACCGGGGCTAACAACATGAAGCAAATTAGCCCGGTGAATCGTCGAATTGGACGTACGAAGCCTGTACCTCAGGTGGCTCCTTACGATAATGTAATAAGCTGGGCCTCCACATTCGACTCTATGTTATAAACGTGCTCTTAAGCAGTACGTAAATTATAAACGTACTCTTAATAGTACGAGGAACTTAAGTATCCTAAATGTACTCTTAATAGTACGAGGAACTTAAGTTTCCTAAATGTACTCTTAATAGCAGAGGAACTTCAGTTTCCTAAAATTTAATACCTTTTCCATTTTACGTATCAGATATTTGAACGAGACCATTAAAAGGCCTCAGTAAGGTACCAAACATAAGATTTGGTCTAGTTCTATTAATAGAACTATATTTACTTTCCAACTTTATTCATATCTGAATACTTCGGTAGCGAGATGGCTCAACCGAATATAGGTTTCTAGGGATTATTAACGTTACCTAGTTGATCCTCCGATCAGCCAACCAGATGTGCCAGTCTGATGAAGGCCAAGTCGGTAATTCTTGATAAGTGGCATGTTATTGGTTAAGACAATAACTAAGGACAACAAGAGTATTTTTCTTTTTTCTTTATTTTTCTAAATATAGGATTTTATGAGTCTCTCGGATTCGACCCAATAAATTATACCATAGTTTCTAATAGAGCGACAACGAAACACTAAATAAAATCCCTTCGGCGGAAACGTACAGAGAGGATTA